CCATGAATATGCGGGAACAGTTTTAAAGAGTTCCATATAACCATTTAATTAAAAATCTAAATATCTGTAACATTCCATTACCCGAAAGTGAAGCATACGACATATATGATGAATTCTTTCGATGTATATTCGTAATTATAAGGGTTTCACTGTAGTAAATTCCACTCTAACATACAGAGCGTCCCATATCATGTTCTAGAATATCTCCAAGCTAATTAACGCCAAAATAAACCCGGAATACTCGAAAAACTTGTCATTTTCCACAAGAAAATTCTTACATTAGCCTTATTTCATTTTTCAAAATGATTTTTCTAATTTTATTCTCTGATTAGTCCCGAAAATCGTAATTTATACCCATTAACGGTCTAATGATGTGGGACTCGTGGGACACCCTGTATATTCTATTCTGTTGGGCTATATATCAGGGGGGGGTTCAATAATATATATACCCCTCGGCCCTCCCACAATTGCATCTCTGAATTTTTATTCACATATCTGTCCTGAAGTGATTATTTCAGGGAAGGGAGAGAACCCGTCCCCCGCCCCCTCCCCCCAAGTTTAGCCTTTTGTTATCGCTAATAATAAGTTGTTTTTGATGCTTGCTAATGATGTCTGTCTGTCAATATATCTATCTTTATATAAACAGCTGATGCAGGTACACAGTAACCTCTCCCTAGTCAACAGTACATATTTATATTTTGTTATAAACAGTCATCGCGTTGTTTTTATCGTAAGAGGTCAAACATGCCTTGTTATCACAACTAGTGGGTGAAGTGGGCACTCCCTGGGCAGTTGAACGTTTTATTGTCCAAAAAATATTTATGTTTTTTAATGTTTGATAGTAAAGATTATGTATATGTAGGTATATTCCTAGTATACGATTTTTGGACCCCCCCCCCCCCCCCCCCTCCTATCAATTTTGTACATGGGTCTGACAAGAAGTTTCATAACTTAACCTAACCCGTGGCCGCAGCGCTCGGCCCCCTAGCCCATCCTAGCCGCAGCGCTCGGCCCAGAAATATCGATGTGAAAC